TTATAAAGTTAAATTTAATTATAAAGTTAAATTTATAAAGTTAATATTTATTTCATCTTACCTTCTATTTCATATGCCTTTACCCACGTGCTCATCCGCTCTTTCAAAGAGTTTCAGTAGATCTGAGAGACATTGTTTCAGCAAAAATAATATTAATCCACATCTGTTAATCACAACAGTTGTCATAATTTCTACCAGTTTGGCTGGAACAGAGGTAAGATTTATAGGGATAAAGTTCGTTGTCAATGTCATCCACCATCACACCTAAAGACTGATTTGTTTTTTTTAATTCAAATTACACTTGCTGGACAAGGTATGCATTTCCCCTGATAACAAAACTGATGCAGGTTATAGCTGATTCACAGTGACTTGTATTTCCACAACTTTACAAAGATTTTGATACTGCCTGGCTTGATACCACCTCAGCCTGTCAGTTTGTTCCTGATCACTTAGACTGAAACATTCTACAGTCCTCATTCAAATCTTCCATCAGAATAGCTACAGTATTTGACACAGCTAACAATTGGAGACAAATGCTGCTACAAAGACTTCATTTAGTTTTTCTGTTCTGACCTTCTTCACTTTCACAGCTACTTTTAATCATCTCTTGACTTCACCTTCCAGATGTTGGCAGGAGTCTATTTTTAACATCTTGCAGATAGCTATCATTGTTAGCTTTTGTGTGTCTAGTGAGTTTCAGCTCTATTTTTTTCTCCTTGTCTTTAATCTATGTTCCACATGCCTGAGTTCCTGTGTTTGAATATGACTTCCAGTTTTAACAGCTTCGTTTGTGCTTCTTTTTAATGTTTTGGGAAGTTCATTTTTACTCTCAGCACAGTATCTTTAAATAATCTGTAAAACATTTGCAAGCTGCTTTTAGCTTCTCCTTTTGTACTCTTTTTAACTAGATGTTAACTATATTGTTGTAATGCTGCTTTTGAAATTAAGAAGCATAGTAGTGATTTAGGGCTTTTTCTTTATAAGAGAATCTATGTTTGTTGATATAGCACACTTATACCTTAAAGCATAGTACTGATTTAAACAAGATAGTATCATACCAAATTTGAAATGATGACAAGCACTATAACATGAAAGTGTTTGAAAGGAAAGCTGCCTTGCAAAGAAATAATCTAACATAGCCAGGAAGTACAATTTTCTCCCTGACAGTTTTTACTGACTCTGCCTTTGTTCATCTCCCCTGCTTTTTCTTTTTCCCTTGATCCTTTTCAGGAGTTGTCTATGTCAAGCTTCTGAATTCTAAGAAACAGTGGATATACTCAATAACAGCTCTAAATAATTAACTAAATATCAAAGTGAAAATAGTGTCAAAGTGACTGCAGAGTGATACCTCCTTACTTGAGAATTCTGCTCCATAGGATGCAGTCTTGTGTGTTACAGTGACTGAAGTACATGTAACGATGTTTTGTTGAAATTACTTCAAAACAATTACTACCTAAAAAAAGAAAGAAGAATGTTCCAAAGCGTGTCCTATTGGCAGAATTTTTAATGGACATTCTGGTTCTTCAAGTAATTAATATTGAGTTCATTGGTCACGTTAGATTTTGTTAGTTGCAAACCACCAGCAGTGGCAGAGCAGCTTCTTTCTTCAATGACCCTAAAAGAAATATTACATAAGGGTTTGTAAGACCAATCCTCAAGTGTCAGATACAGATCTTTCATTATTAGTGACTGCTTACAACTAGAAAAAGAAACCAGCTTCTGCTGAACTGGATTATTGATATATAAAAATATTAAGGGCCAGGAGGATGACTAAAATACCTTGTGATGGAAAAACCTTGTTTCTGCTGCACACAGATTGAAATTGATAAGATTTAATGGACAAATTAGCATGCTCTACCACCATGTCATTTTTAGAGACTTTCAGAGAAATAATTTAAAATCTTTTCCATGAAGAGACAATTCATTGTTCAGTTATCATAACGACTGCGCTGCCACTACTGATTCATCACACATGCAAGATAAGACAGAACAACAGTTGCCTGAAGACCCATGGTAACAGAAAATTCAGTTTAAACAGATTATTAACCATTTTGTGGATTTGAGAAAAATAAGAGTAGAATCTAAGTCTTTCTTTCTTATCCACATTTGTTCCTGTAAAAAGTAGAGATAAGAGGAGAAGCACTGTATTTCTGTTACCAGTGATGGCAGATAACATTAAAGGTAGCAGCTGCCTTGACTGAAGGTTATTTTTTCCCCTAATTGTTGTGAGAAGTGCATACATTGCTCACTGAAAAACACATAAAAACCTGTTTTATTATATATTTCAAATAGGATGTTGATTTTTTTTTTTGCACAGAAGTTTCTGTGCAAGTTTGTAATCAACTTTGTCATCAACTTTGTCTCTTTTTATTATAGCTAAAACTGGCCAGTCAAGTAGCATGCCTTTGAGAAAAATCAAAAGGAAATTTATTAGAAAATACTCACTTTAATTGTGCATTAAATAAGTTGTGCATGTAGCATTATTTCATCATAATTAAATTTTAAAAAATCATGACTGTTATTATTTTACAGTCGGTCAATAAGCTAAAAGAACTGTTTTGTTTTTTTCTTTTACAGGCCCTCCAGTTAATGTCACATGCAACATATTTATAAACAGCTTTGGATCCATTGCAGAGACAACCATGGTAAGATATTTTACCTCAAGCAGTGATTAAAGTTCAAGTTAAATATGTTCAACGAGCTCAAAAGCTAGCTAGGGCTTCTCTTCACCTGGAACTAAATGAAGAAGGAAATCCATTTCTAAGAACAGAAGTGAGAACATTTAATTCGGCAGCTGATTTTTTAAAAAATTATCTTTATACCATCAAACGCACAAGTAAAGCCAAGGGCTGGGGGCTTATTTTCATTTCTCCATAACTTTTATTTGATAATTGTAACAAACACCTTATTTTCAATTAGATATATATTAGTTTCAATAGTGTTCCACTTTTCTAACCTCAAAAATGTCGCTTCATTAAGTTGCTTTGTTAATAATATTTTATAATTTCATTACATACAGTGCATATAGGGATGTACACTTTATTTTAAAAGTCCTTCATCAATAGAGCTGTTGCACAGAGATAATGGAATAACTGAAACAGTGATCTGGTATATCATGACTTTTATGAGTGTGGTAAATATGCTTTTTGTAAGTACACTTATATTTTGTCTATTAAAGAAAGGCAGAAGATAGAGTACAAGAAGACTGGAGATTTTAAGAAAATAAGGAGAAAGAAAGGTTCAGGTCTAAAGATAATAAAACTAGATATTGAACTGTGAACTGACAAAGAAAACTTTGATAATACTATTTAGCAGGTAAAACACACATGTTAATAAATTGGAGCACAGATTTACTCTTTAAAAATTGATGAGAGAGGAGATATAGACATTCTTTCTCCATACAAGTGTTTCACATATTTTGAAGAATGGCAAATAGATACCTTTGAAAACAGTTACATAGTAATCTGGGGACAGATTATAGAGATTATAGAGAGATGAAGGAAGACCTGTGAGTCTGTAAGATCCAAATAAAGTAAATACTCTGAAATCCCAACAATTTCAGGGGTCAGGATACATACTTGAAGTGACAGAACACAGAATAAAAATAATTGGTATACCCCCCCAAAAAAAAAGAGGGGAGGGAATGACCCTAAGCAAAAACCATCCTTCTGAATTACCAGTAAGAGCAAAAAAAAGACCTTTGACTTTTGAATGTACCAAGGACCTGTAGTTAGGAAATCAATAACATAAATTCATAAAGTCAAATATGTATGCACCCCATATCCAAAGTGATATTCACAGCTACCTAATCTTTACCCACCTTGGAACATAGTGGCAGATGTTACCGAGAAAGGCAGATGATTTTTTCCAGGTAGAAAATTACTTTAATTTGTATTTGGGTGCCTTGACAGATTGCAAATCCCAAACAGATTGACATGTCATCCAAGCAGATTTAGTCAGATTCGATCAGAGAATTAAGCAATACCACATGATTAGAATAGTGCTCCACAGCTACTTTTCAATGGCTGGATGGGTGTATCTAGTACAAAGCAGGAGACACACCACAGGGTCAGTAAAGTGCAAAAATCCAGCAATTAGATCACTATAAAAACCATATTTGGAAAAACAAAGTTGCTACCATTTTAAAAAATTGTCCTGAATTTGGGAAGAGAATGCCTGAGTTCACATCTCAAGTGTATTTTCTCTCTATGACCAGAGAATTAGAAACATTTCCTTTCAATGCAATTTGGTACAATACTTCTATTTTATAATGATATTCCATTCTGTTCTGTGTTGCCTTGAAAGTACTTTAAAACAATTGAGATAGACTACAGCCTGATCTGTAAAAAATAGGTACTATGTTACAGAAGATACCAAACCTGGTCAGAAACACAGGGTTTTTCATTCTGTCAATTATACGCATTCAAAAACTGAACAATTAAGTACAACCTTGACTTTAAGACAAATGCTGCCTTTATGATGCTGGTATTCTGTTTACGATGTGTTCACTGCTACACAGTATGTTTTGTTTATGGTCAGCAGCTGTCAACCCCTCAGAGACCCAAATCTTCCTTTGCAGAAAAACAGATGATTTTATGTAGATGACACTTCTGGTTGTGTATTTTATTAGCTTTAATTTCTTCCCAAAGCTGAAGATGAACATCTTCTGAAAAATATGAACATCTTCCTATCTTAAAATTACAATCAAAACCATCTTTCATTATTTTGCAAGATGAATTTCTTCATTGTTGAATGAAAGTCACTTCACCGCAGTTCAGTATTTTAGCAATTGTTACTATGTTACTATTTGTTTACTGCAGTCCTTAAAATTCAGGTACCTGTGTTCTAACACTTATTCTAAAACTTTATGCACAAAACGAGTTATTAGAACAATTTATTAGACTCAAAAAAGACTTCTACATTCTTGATAAATATTTTTTTCCAAACTGTAAACAGAAGAGCTCAAGTAAGCAACAACTGCAAAATAAAACCTGGCCACTAAGTGGTACCTTGAAGTGTCGTTGATATTTAAAACTACCAGCTGAATAATGAATAAGCGTATAATCTATTAGCTTTAAAGAAGTCCGAGTATATCAAGCCACTGACGTGATTGCTCTTAGCACTGTCTCTCTCCTTCTCCTTGTCTCTCTGGTTCTCTCACTGATGACCAAAATCTTTGTGCTCCCTCTGCTGCCTCGGCTATGTATAACACAGAAAAAACAGAAAAACAATTGGTTAAAAAAACCCAAAAAACTTGGATCAGCTGCAAAATAGCCTGAGTTATGGATGGAGGTTTTTCACATTCTAGTGGTTCTGCAGCTGTCCAGTTTGTTATATGTCCAGATTAATCCGTGCAAATCCCCCTGATGAACTTTCATTCTAAGCAGACAGCATCATATCACCCTGCCCAGATACAGCGTATTTTCCACATTGTATGGAAATTCTGTAATATGCAAATAGAAGAGCTCCAAATCAGTCAGTTTTATAAGAAGCAATGGAAAACACTGTTTTATGCAGTTCTGCTCTGAAACTTTTAGTCTACTGGATGATATTACAACAGTACAACAGCACGCTGAAGCAGAGAAGAACAAGGAAAAGTTAGACAAGGGTAGCACAGCCAATTCCTGTCTATCTCACCAAGTTACAAGGTGTGGCATGGCACCAACTGCTTGCAATAGCTGATCAAGGGTCTATATTGCATATCACTACCAGGTGTTGAGGAGAAGAGGTGGGTTTAGGTGCCTATTAAGAATGAGACCAATTGGAGCTGTGCATAAAAACATGAGGGTCAAGCATCTGGTTTGCTGATAAACTGTAATAGATGGTGCAGCAGATGGATAGGTTGGTTGGCACTATGCATCAAGAGGCTAGTACAGCTAATACTGAACTTGATGGTTATCAGGTACCAACAGCTGCATTTCCAAATCTGGGAAAATCTGGTTCCCTATTAACACTGAAAATCATCCTTACACCGCAAGTCAGAAATGAGGAGAAATAATCTCACTGTGTTTATCTCCTGGCCTCTAGGAGGTTTCTGAGGATGACTGTACTGTTCTGTACTTTTTCCTAACCTTCTTTTTCTGTGTTATAAAATCTGAATATTACTGTATTCTTTCCTGGCATCTATACTGGAGATTTTTCTCAGGAAGTAACTCCAGCATTTTGGGCTCGTTTGATGACACTGACAAAGTAAAGGAAATGTCATTTTTTCCTTTTCGATTCTTTTGATGGTATATAAATGATTCAGGAAAAAAAAAATAAAAATAACAGTGTTTGGATTGGATCATTCCAGAATTAGATTTCAGGAATTTGGGCAGCAAATGAACTTTGCAGTGAAGAAAACAGTTTTGACTCTTACGTTTGGTTTAGGTTTGGACCAGCAAAAATGGCTACTTTAATTGATCCTTAAAAATCACCAGAAGCTTTACCATTGCTGAAGTTGATGACCTTTGCAGAAGCTGATGGCAGGCTTCTTTCTCTGGCACCTCCAGTGGTTTTTAAACTGTTTTCAGAAGCAACTTTCTAGTGAGTTATTAGGGAGCAGTAGTGTTCATTCCTTGGTTAACAGAGTGTGATTATGTTATTTGAAAAAGATGCTCATTTACAGGGATGGTTTCCACATATTTCATGTTTGAAAGCCAGTATTTTCAACATAGATATACAGAAAAACAGAAATATAAACTATGGATAGAGACATGTCGGTAAAAAATGGACAAATCTTATTAAACATGAGGCTAAATTTTGTTGTTTGTCACTGTAAACCAGCAACAAACCAACTCAAGACCAAGTCTCAAGTTTATTTTAGATATTGTCGTGAGGCCAAATTCTGCTGAAAGCTCTAGAGATACAGTGCAATCTTACCTAATAACAAAGTGCATTTGCCTGAGAAAATACTGGAAGAACAGTCAGTTCTCGTTTCCAGGTCTCAAAACCTCCCTTTTCTAAATATCCTTTCAATGATTTATGAAGAATTGAAACTTCCTGTATGAAAGGAAAATATTTCATGCAGTCAACATCTCTAGATTGACTGTGAAGGTACAGGCTAGGATAAGTGTAACGATGAAAAGCTGCTTGAAAATATCTTGGACATTTTCAATAGCTTTAGATGAGACTACTGCCACAGAGGATCCCACTCAGTATGTATTTGGAGCATTAACGGAGATTTAAAAGTGATGCAGCAACTGAAAAGGACTATATTCTGTGCATGAACATGTCATAGGTCTGCAAAGATAATAGGAAGTATCTACAGTAAAACAGAAGGTCAGACTAACAGTTTTCACTGACAGCAGTCATGTAATGGGCACAAACAGAGTAAAGGTGTGGTCCCTTGGCAAAAACTGAATGCTTTAAAAGCAGAATCTAGAAACCTAATATACCAGGTTTTCACAATCAAGTACTAAATTTCCCCTTTCAGCTGTTCTGACTTGTAAGTTTAATTCATTTATGTGACTGTGACCGTAATTTATTTCAAGATTTTTTGGAAGATGAATTGGAATAAGTTTTATATTTATCCCAGTAAGGCTTGCTGTCTGAGTCACAGCCAAATTCTGTAACACTTTCGGGAACTTGTAGCTGAAATTCAGTAGGATCTTTATGTAATATGGAGAATAAATATGTAAGTCAGAAATAAAGACTGCTGGTTCCG